TTCATATATTGGGTTCTTTTTGTTTCCCCTCATTCCTAGTTTGCTTTGATTTCTTCCTTCTTTTAAGCCACAAACGTTGAGACTGGCGGAAACAGCTGGTACACGTCTTACACGTCCTCCCGAGAGACCGGAAACCTCTGTGGGGTTGGCACAAACTGGTTGCTGAGGTGAGTCGGGGCCTTTTCCTGCCTTGGGCGCCTCCTCTTGGAGGAAGCCACGTGGCGAGTGCTTTTGCTACGTGAAAGATTCTGAGTCTGGGGTTGTCCTGGAGGAGACGGGGAAAGTTTCAGGGAGGTGAGAATCTAAGGCCGGGACAGGCCAAGCCCAATAATCCATCAGTCTTGTGCAGAGGCAGGGAAAAGCTTCCTTACCGAGCCTCCCCCCTCCCCCGTCTCCCACCCACCGGAGGCAAAGCCCTCTGGGAGACTCCTCCTCTCTTCCCAGGACGGTGCGGCCCCTCCCCAACGGCACAGCTCCTGGCTGTCCTTGATTTGATTGCCTCCCACCATTCCAAAAGCTTCTGTAGTCTACTGGGAAGCCCAAACGTGCAGCAAAATTATTCTCATTGATCCTAAAAAGTTTTTCCTAAAATTATTTGTAGTCTAAGTGTATTGTTTTCTGGAATTTGGGTAAAGGAGACTGCAGTGATGCGTTGGTCCACTAGGCGGCACTCCATGTTCTCAATTATGGAAAAAATTGTAATTGCGACGTGGCTAAAACTTTTCTACTACAGTTGTAAAACTGAAAAATGGTCGTAATCCTGGCTCGTTGGTCTAGGGGTATGATTCTCGCTTAGGGTGCGAGAGGTCCCGGGTTCAAATCCCGGACGAGCCCTCTTTTCCACAGCAGTGTATATTTATTGCTGTTGAGCACCATCATACTAATCAAGTTACTATTGTACCTAATATTACTCTATGAAAATGATTTTATACTCCACCACTTCAGGTTTATACACTTACTCTGTACACAACTAGTTTTTCTATTATTAAATCACCAGGATAAATACCACATGTTATTGCACATAATTTATATAACACAATATTTCTTCTACAAAATCATTTCTAAAATCAAGCATCGCTATTAATCTTTTGCATTTTTTATTATCCAGGAACTGTTTACTCAGGTCTTAGGGAGGTGTATTTTATATCAATAGTCTCACATTACTGTCAATTTTCCTCCACTGTAAGCAGGGGGGCTGGGGTCAGAGGGGGCTTTGCGTGGTGGGACTTCTTCTGGTCAGTAAATGTGGCAGCCCTCTTGTCACATAAAGCCTGGACTCCCTCCCTCATTCAAGCCTAACATTCCAGGGCCCGTGCATATAGTGGGTGGGAATGGCGGAGGAAGTCTCAGGTGGTAGCACCTTGGGAATGAACTTAGCAGGGATGCTCAAGCCTGCCTGCACATTAGACTCGTTTTTGGAACTTTATAATAATTCATTGCAGGATCCAATTCCCGATCAATTAAATTGGATTCTTTGAAGATGAAGAGTGGTGTGGTTAGTTTTTAAAAGGTCCCCTGGTATAATTAGATTTGGCCTGGGAGCTACTGATGCTACCCAGTTGCTCTACAGGCCACAACTGGAGACCAGGCTAGTATCGCAGTAACTCTAGGCATGCTGTATCCTCAGAATCAGCTGCTACTTCATCTTTCATAGCTAAGTTTAGTTCTGAGTTCAATCATGTGCCAAACTTTGTTTCTCCCGGTGATCCTCCCCCAAGCCACAGAAACAGACTGTGCCAAGAGTAAGAAACTCCAAAAGAAAAAAGACAGCCTCACTAAAGTTATTCAGCCTGTTTTATTTGAGGGGTGTGTGCAGATGCATGCGTGAGAAGGGGTGCTTCCACTCACTACACAGGAATAGACCTGGGATCACACTCTTCACCCTTACTACCTCCCTAACTATTGAGGGCTTTCAGTGTTCACTCACATCTTGCTATTTCAGTCAGATGTTCCCTAACTCACCTGAAGAAGAAGAGCTAGAAACCACATGTATTTTTCACCTCACTCTTTACTGTGCTGCTGAGTATTTAACTTCTAGTACCTTTCCAGGTATTTGGAAAACCTGTGAAACAACCTTAGAATCATTCTTTAGCCTTCTCCCTTAACAACCCACATTCAATCCTTTAACAAATGATGTTAGCTGTACCTTAAGAATATTTCCAGAATCCAAACACTTCTCACCACCTCCCCCTCCACCACCACTGTTGTGGTCTCAGCCACCACCACTGCAGTAGCCCCTTAGCTGTTCTCCCTGGTTGGCCCTTGTGCCCCTTCAGTCTGTTCTCAACGGGCAAGACAGAATGTTATTGTGAAAGCCTAGATCAGAGCTGGTCATTGCTCTACTTAAAACCCTCTGTGCATTTCCATTTCATTCAGCATAAAATCATTCACCTTGCTGTGACTTTAAAAATACACAATTTTGCCACTTTTGCATTGCTTGCACTTCACCTCCTACCACTCTGTCCCTTTGCTGGCAGCATTCCAACTACATTGGCCTCTAATGCTCCTCAGGAATCCCTACCCCTGTGTTTTCATACTTGCTTTTCTCTCTGCTTCATTGTATCTCCCTCATACCTGTGCATCTCAGTCCCTCCCTGCTTTTAAGAGCTCTGCTCAGATGTTACCTATCTAAAAGGACTTCTCTGATCACTGTTGCAATCACCGACTGGCAGTGACCACAGAACACTGCGGATGGCTCGTCAACACACGAGAAAAACATACACAGAGACAACCAGGTCCTGTGGGGAAGTAGGAACGGAATGGCCACTCTCTCTGGTGGGGAGAGTGCCCCGTTCCCCCACTGGAGAGGCTTTTTATTGGGTTCATTTGCATAAGAATTCAGGTAAACCTCATTATTCATTGCTAGGAAGTAAGGTGCAAACAATAGATAACAAGGAAGTCTGAGGGCCTATTTTGAGTCAGGGTCAAAGAGCTGTAAAACTTTGAGGAACAAACTTACTACTTCCCTGGACCCTTGTCATTCAACTGAGAGCATTCTAAACAAAGCAGGTTTCACAGGATTTTACATATTCTTTCTTAGGCCTGATCACCCGGGGAACCTGCTCTTTCCAGCACAGAGCTGCACCATCCTGTCATTGTTTCAGGCTTAGGTGGAGCAAGGGAACTAAGGCAACCAAGAGATAAGGAGATTTTCTCCCAGACGATGAGGACTCAGGCTACTTCAAAGCCAAGGGGCGAGGGTCCATCACCTCCTTTTGCTGTAGCCCCCAAAGTCCTTTCTTGGGGGCCTCCCATGTGATCGTGCCTGTCCTAGGTCGTTCCCCCCTTGGGGAATCTTACCCGTCACTGGCTAACCAACCAAGCATTGGGGGCCAGTTATGAGTGAAGTAGCAGAAGCAGTGCTCCTGCCAGGGAGATAAGCCTGTCTCCTTGGTGGCTTACGGTTCCAAGGTCGTTCCCTCAGCCTTAGCCTCGGCAGGGGTTACAGCTTCTGATACCAGGCAGGGCAGTTCCCAACAGATCACTCTGTAGGAAATAGCACCCACCCCCTTTGCTCTCTATTCTCCTTCTGTTCTTTAATTTTCTTCTTTGTGCATACCACCACTTGACTTTTGCTGCTGCTGCTGCTGCTATTAATTTCCCTACCCTCTCCACTACAATAGAATCATTGTGAAAACAGAGTACTTTTTTACTGCTGAAGACTCACAGGCCGGAACAGTTCTTAGGGCCTAATAGATACTAAATAAGTATTTGGTTAATGAATTGTGTGAATTGTTGTTTTAAATCAAAAAGTTATACAGGCTTTTTAGGAATACCTGACCCTGTGACACTGAGGGAGATAAGGAGCATGAAGGTACTGGGGGTTTGAATTGAGGGCTCTTGCAGTGTGAGGAATATGCTGTCCTCTGGGAAAGGTGAGGGGGAGCCATGCCTGAAAAGTATTCTTTGGCAGCTCTCCCATTTGGGCCACAGTATGGACCCATAAATGCTTTAAGGAAGCATTGAAAAGTTCTTCTGACTGGAATAAAGCAAGACACCACGTAAACTCTCAGGAGCTTTAAATTGGACATCAGTGCCATTGGCTCCTTTGCAAACTTAAGTGCCCAGCTGCTTCAGACTTTTAAGGCTTTGAGAAATTCTGAACCAATGGTGTTTTGGGGCCACATTGTAGGGTTGCACCCATTGTAGGATTACAGACTCAACAGCCATCCTGTAAGAATCTATAAAATAATTGATTTAATAAACTGACAAGCCAAAGTCCACAATAGGGAGACAAGGGAGGAAAAGGAAAACTAAGATTAGGGAAGGACCTGTATAACCACCAGGACATCATCAACCTCATTTGACCAGATTTTGAGATGAGGGATCACTGTCATATGAGCCCTGTAGGAGACACCGTTGGCCCGTGGAGAGGATGCCTGGTGGATGATATGGAACAGGGTGAGAATCTCTGCTGGTCACAAACAAGCATTATAATAGGCAGCAGCTCTGCTCCCTGGAGTTTGGGCAGAAACTGCTGCCTTGTGGCCAAATCAGGTACTGTCAAATGTAAACCTGCTTTTGCCCCAACCTGTGCTCTTTTTGCTCAATAGCTGTTCAGTAAATATTGATTGAATGGAATAACAGGTAAGTGAATGACCTAAAAGAACTATATTTTGCTCTTTAACCACAGTATCAATGAGCTACACTTTGTAAAATTCAAAAATCTTCTTTGAGGGATTCTTGGTGGGACCCTTGTAGCACCCTATGGACATGAGATCAGAAAGATCAATGAAAGGAAAGTATTGATTTACCTCTAATTACTACTCAAGACCTTAAATCTATGGTTGTCCCTCCGATCCTCCCACTTTAGCTGATAAAAACCAAACTTATGAGTTTTGCTAGTGGGTGCTGCCTCTCTTCTCTGCTTGCTATTCACACCACAGGATGCCATTTAACTTAGTGAGTAGTTCAGCCTAATTCCATGAACACCTTATCCCAGATCACAGGTCTTATTTTTTGGCTCTTACTGAGAGGGATTGCAGATTAAAAATGAATTTCTACCCAGTCAGGGCACGTGCCTGGGTTGCAGGCCACCGCCCCCTGCAACCGACATTGACGTTTCTCTCTCTCTCTTTCTCCCTCCCTTCCCTCTCTAAAAATAAATAAATTAAATCTTAAAAAAAATGAATTTCTAGGGACCCCACTACTTTTTGTTGATCCTACTGTGTACATGACATGGATGTGGAACTTACAGAGGGTAGATCTGTGTTATTGATCTGGGATAAGGTGTTCATGGAATTAGGCTGAACTACTCACTAAGTTAAATGGCATCCTGTGGTGTGAATAGCAAGCAGAGAAGAGAGGCAGCACCCACTAGCAAAACTCATAAGTTTGGTTTTTATCAGCTAAAGTGGGAGGATCAGAGGGACAACCATAGATTTAAGGTCTTGAGTAGTAATTAGAGGTAAATCAATACTTTCCTTTCATTGATCTTTCTGATCTCATGTCCATAGGGTGCTACAAGGGTCCCACCAAGAATCCCTCAAAGAAGATTTTTGAATTTTACAAAGTGTAGCTCATTGATACTGTGGTTAAAGAGCAAAATATAGTTCTTTTAGGTCATTCACTTACCTGTTATTCCATTCAATCAATATTTACTGAACAGCTATTGAGCAAAAAGAGCACAGGTTGGGGCAAAAGCAGGTTTACAGTTGTTCATATGGAAAAAGACATACAGGTTAGGGTTATTACGATAGCTTTATTAACTCTGTGTCTTGCCTATTCACAAATGTAAACCTACTTTTGCCCCACCCTATGTATGGAGGGAGAAAAGGAGAGATTTGAGGTGAGGGTCTCCGTGCAAGGCTGTGTAGGCAGAGGTAAAGACTGTGGTCATTAAGACTTATGAAAAGCCATTGACACATTTTAGGGAGAGCAGGGGGTGGACAGCACAGGCACAGAACTAGTTTGTGTTTTAAAAAGATTTCTGTGTCATAGTATGGTTGACAAAAAGCCATGGGGAGCACTGTTTCATTCTAATAGGCACCCACAGAGACCTGCGCTGTGGAATGTTGTGGCTGGGTGTGCTTTATCGACTCTCAGTTGCTCCTTGTTCTCCCCTCATGCGTTCCCCCAACTTGGCCAGCCCCCAGCCGCTTGTAAAGGTCAGCCAAGCCCGTGGAATTAAGGTCAGGATCACAGAGCTAGTTAGTGGCTGAGCCAGTTCAAGACAGGCTCTCACAGCTGCTAGGACACTGTTCATTTTGCTCTAGCTGGGCGCTTCTGAGAAAAGGGAGGGTTTTGTTTTTTGTTTTTATTGCCTCTGGGTTCTTTAAGGCCTCTATAATTATTTGGGGGTTGGGGACAATCATTGTTTTCTTCCAAGGAATCTTATCTAATTTTCAGGGAAGCTGGACCTGGCCGGGGAGGCAAACAGAGCCGGGGAGTGGCATTGGAGGTGCTGCAAGGGAAGGCTGGGTTAATGGCACTTCCAAACTGGGATCCAAAGGAAACGGTCATGGGCCCAGCCTGGGGACACACACAAGAAGCCAGGTACGCTGTGATCAAAGCGTTCTCAGAAGTGGAAAACTGAAGCACAGGGGCCTCCTAGAGAAACATGTTCAGGCCAACCTCCCCTCATCCTGGCCTCCCCTGGGCTATCTATAGTGGTGACAGTCATTTCAGGGATACAGCTAACATCAGAAAAAAAAAAATGACTTGGTTTGCCCCCAGAGGAGAACGGGACCTCCTGTGCTCCTAGCCTGGGGCTGCAACTGCACAGCTGAGATTGATAGCCTCTGATCTGATTCTGAACACATTCTGCCCAAATCAGGAGCAGCTTGTTCTTAGACATACGTTCACCTCATCTGGACAGGGAGACAGATGACTTCGTGGGAGAGCAGTTGGAAGAATGCCCAGAGGCTTGTGAAGGTAGCCAACAAATCCCTCCAGAGCAGGGGTGCTTCGTGCCGCTTATTGTTTTTCCCTCAATAATAAGTATTCTTGATTTAGGGAGGTGTCCCTCTGACCAGACTTCCAATTCCATAGGCAAGTTCACAGGGCTACTCTGCCACACTCCTGAATCAGGGCTCCAGCTCCCACTGCTGGGTCTGGTGCCCAGGATCCATTTCCCCATTGCTTACCCTGACTCCAGGCTGGAAGGCAGAGGGCATGGCTTTACCCCCACCCCGTGTGTGTGTGTGTGTGTGTGTGTGTGTGTGTGTGTGTGTGTGTGTGTGTTGAGGGTGGAATAGGAGAGGTTGCCAGAGAAGTGTCTTCCTAAGGGAATAGCCATCGGGGTCACTTTATTTAGCTCAGAACCTTAGCATGTGACAGCAGAAAGGGAGTTTGCAGATAGTCTGATTCTTTCTTTATTCTTTTCTGCCACCTTCATTTCAAAGATGAAGAAACTGGGACACTGAAAAGTGACATGGCTTTGGAAGATCACACAACTAGTTGGTGGCAGAAGAGCAACATCTGGCCCTTTCATCCACTCCAAAACACTTTTTGTTCTCCTGGGAAGTACCAGGCAGGGTGCTTGACCAAACAAGCAACACATTCTGGCTCACCAGAAGCATGCAGCACACACGAGAGAAGGGCACATAAACCCTTGCTTGCCCCATGTAATGACTGTTAAGACTAAGTCAAGTACAGGAAGCATGGAGGAGGGCTTCTTCTGGAATTCCTAAAAGGAGATGGAGGTGGTTGATTCAAGAAGGGTTCTTGGAGGAGATGATAGAGTCTCATGTCTTTGCCCTGCCCTTAGAGATATTTCTTGACACCTGAGCTTACACAGGATACCTGAGAGTTTGTGGGAGCCAGCAGAGATTTCCTCATGGACAAGGCCCAGTTCCAAGGTTAGAAAGAAACTCCCTATCATCTGACTGTTTTCCACACCAGCATAGTAGATGAAAAGTTTGGGAGGGCTCCTTGGTAAAGAGGAATAGGGAGAGAAAAAAACAGATCCCAACTCAAAAGTACTTCCAACCTTTTGGTCTTAAGACAGGTGCTAAAAGTTGGCATCTGGGTGATACAGAAGTGGGAAGGAGGGGTTAGAGAATGGTGGGAGGAGGAGAGCACCTTTTGCTTTCTGCTTTAAACCACCTTCCTGGATCTGAGGTGCTCCTAGCTTCCTCACTGCCAGTCACCCTGGCTTTGACCCCTGCTCCCAACCTTCAGACATAGTCTCACTTCTCCTTCCCCCTGCCTGGCCTGGGACCTCTGTCCCTGGTGGAACGCAGGTCACTCCACTCATCTCCAGGATCCCCTATGAACTGGTTTCTACAATGACTGAAAGAGCACAGGTAATTAAGGACTAGAACTAAGAGAGACAGACCAGTCCTTCCTCCTCCAGCAGTGTGTTCCGGGAGGCAGGTCCTTCCAGTGTGTGTTGGGGGATGGGTGCTCCAAAGACCTGCTTTAGTCACATGATGTGGGGACAAATACCTACCTTTTACCTTGAGAAAGCTCTAAATCAGAGCAGTTATTGACATGCAGGGTTTCACATGAGGTACTGAGCATTCTACATAATAATGTAAAAGTCAGTTTCAATGTGGAGTGGATGCAATTCTTTATAAATTACCGTGCTGTTTACCAATTCAGGGCTCATCTATTGTAGCAACCCCTAAACTTCAGTGTGCATTTTAATCACCAGGGGTGGGCAACTGATTACCAATGCAGATTCCAGGACCTCACCCCCAGAATCTTCCATCTGATACATCTGGGGTGGGGCCCAGGTTTCTGTATTTTTAATTAATAGCCGCAGACTGATGGATTTCACTTAGAAACCTTTCTGAAAGCTTTCTGAAAAATAGTCTGTGGGAGCCAGGCAGTGGCTGACTGAGTGGCTGAGGGCTGGCAGTGAGGTAGCTTCCCCAATATGCTCTGCAACCTCCTTCCACCCCCATTCTTCAAGAAGGGCAGTTCATGTTTCCTCAGTTGAGGGTAAAGACTCAGAAAGTGCATCTTCAAGAAAAGAGCCGCTAGCCCCCTCCTGTGGCATGATCATGGTCTAATGGGGCCCAGGACTTGAGAGAGAGGAGATACAAAGCTGACGTTAAGGAGGATAAGCACACCCACATCAGGGTGCTCAAGGGAAAGGTGCAACCCAAAAGGGAGTCCTTGTGAAGCGTCTGCTGATGGCTGCTAAGACTAGTAAGTATATTTTTCTCTTTTATAATTAAAAGTGTTCAGAATGTCTGTTATACTGCATATCCTGTATTCAGTATGTAGGAGAGTGCCCAGGCTTTGGGAGGAGCGTGAAGCAGGCCAGAGATGTTGCTGTAACAGGGGGGGCGGAGAGAAAGCCTTGAGGATTCACTGTGGACAAGAGATAAACGCGGTTCTCAGAGAGCTTCTAAAATAGTTCGGGAAAAGAGCTAGAATTCTAGTAGTAATGAAGGATGGGGCTTGAATTTTTGTACATATTTTAAAGGGAGGGCAGTCCCCCAAATCTAAGAACCCAGGGCTCCTTGGGTTCCATTCCCTTTTGCTTATTGCTTCCTTTGCTCCTGCCCAGACGCCTGGTTACCATCTGTGGCTCCTAGTCCCATGCAGCATGTCTCACACCGATTTTCCATGGGACCCAGTTCCACAGTGGGGCCCCTTAAGTAAAGTTCCGTGCTCAAATCAATTTGTAAAATCTCTAGTTAAATGAAAACAGTCAAGCTTCTCTATTGCTGGGTTTCTCAGAATGTTGTGCTTTGTGAATCTTTTGAGAAGAAATATAATTAACAGTGTCTCTCAAACTTTTGATCATGAAACTTTTTTCTTGAATCACACTCATTAACGTTTTCCAGAACAATGTTCGCCTGAAGACAAATAGGAAAAATGCTGTTACTTGTCCTCCAGTGTTTATTCTCCCCTTTTTTGTTTGGAAACCAGAATTTCAGCTAGGCACAGGTGCCTCATCCCCCAGAATAAACCCTACATTTCCCAGTGTCTCTTGCAGTTAGATGTGACTGTCTGACCAAATTAATGCAAGTAAGCTGTAAGTGGAAATGATGTGTGAAACTTTGAGATGTGTCCTTAGAAGGCAGTGCCACACCCTTTTTGTGCCTTTCTTCTCCCAGCTGGCTGGAATGCAGATGTGATGGCTGGGGCTGCAGCAGCCACCTGGATTGTGACATGGAAGCCACAGTCTGAGACAGAAGTCAGAAACTTAAAGCACCTGGCTGATCCTGGACTAACTACCCCAGGCTTTCTTTTACATGAGAAATAAAGCTCTATCTTCCTTAGACTACTATTTCTTTGACTTTTCTGTCATCAAGCAGCTGTTTGGAAAATATGTAACAATAATCTCTTCAGATAGATTTCTCTTTATGTAATAAAAATGTTTCTGCAAGATGGTGTGCAAATCAAAATTTATTAATTGGAAAATTAATCAATAATTAATTGTGTACTTATATCTTTGTGGCATTGTGAAACACATATCCCAAACAGGGCAGTTTGAATTCTGGAAGGACACCCAGAATGAAAGTTTTTAGAAAGTAAATAATAACATCTTGGTTGTTTATTTTCATGGTCTGGAATTATGTTTTTTTTGTACAGAAAGAGATACATTTTTTAAGACTGTTCCAGGAATCTCTGGACCATTTTCACCTCAAAATGTTTTTCTTCTTATCAATTAGAAAGACACAGATATACGAGGTCTGTCCAGAAATTATCCAGCCATGTACTATTAAAAATAGAGGCATTTACTGAAGAAGATACAAGAAACATTGTACATAGGACAATGATGCTTCAGTCCCCTTCAAAGTAGGCACCTTGGGACCTCACACAGTTCTCCAAATCGCCATCAGTTACCCTGTTGCATTTTCCTGAATTTCATCGATGGTCTGAAATCTGTTGCCTTTCAAGGTGATTTTAGTTTTGGGAAAAGCCAGAAGGTGCAGGGTGCCAAATCTTGGCTGTAGGGGGTCTGAGTCACCTAAGTGATTTGATGTTTCACCAAAAAACTCTGCTCGAGACGTGATGCATGAGCAGGCACGTTGTTGTGATGAAGCTACCAATCACCAGTTGCCCATAGCTGCAGCCTTCTGGATCATCTGAATAGTTTCTGTGGAGAAATGTTCAAGCTTAACACGCAATCTGATGCAGATTCATTGCTCTATTCACTCAGGCATTTTGAATCCAACAATCACACAGTACACGTGCTCACTCAACAGCCTCTATCACCCTCACTCACTAGTATAGTGAAGTCATCATTGTTCATGTATGTGCATTCCAGTCCACTCTTCCTGACTGTCCTTTACATCGATGTCACACAAACCATTCTTATTGTATTAATAATAACTGGACTTTTTCCAGACAGACCTCATATATAGAGGAGACTATGTAAAAGTCTCACCAAAAGAGAAATCCTTTCAGGGCAGCAAGTCATAAAACTAAGTCTGTTTTCCCATTCCTGTATCAAATGACCTGAAGATGATAGCAACAAAAATAATCTGTCTTAATACCTTGGTCTTTCACCAAGCACTCCACTAATTTCCCACATAGGTTTCCAATGTATGCCACAGTTCAGTAGTTTCCAAAAATTTGCTGCATATTAGAATCTTTGGAAGAGCTTTTATTAATAATCCAAAACCCAGGTCACCTCCAATGCCAATCAAAGCAGAATGTCTCAAAGTGGCATTAAAAAATGCCCAGGTGATTCCACTATTCATCAGAGTTTGGGAACCATTGCCATATTTTCCAGGGCCTTATCAAGAGAATGTTAATGTTAGGGGATTGTTCCGCTCTGTCCTGAACACCATGTGGGACTAGAATTTGCTGAAACTGAAGTTCAGGTGTCAAGAAGGTGAGGTTCTTATTACTTTTGTCATCTTCCATCTCCACCTGAAATGTTCTACAATTTCTTTTTTTAAGATTTTATTTTTATTTTATGTAGATATTTACTTATTGTTTAGAGAGGGGAGGAGAGACAGAAAGAAAGGGAGAGAAACATCAACGTGTGGTTGCCTCTTGCATGCCCCTTACTAGGTAGGAACCTAGCCCACAACCCAGGCATGTGCTCTAGACTGGGAATTGAACTGGTGACCTTTTGATTCACAGGCAGGAGCTCAACCACTGAGCCACACCAGCCAGGGCTGCAATTAATTTCTCCATTAATGAAATGAAGGTAATTGTTACTTCATAGGTTTGAATAAGGACTGGCTGTAAATTTGGAAAATAGACAAACCTGTGTCTGGCACACATCAGGACTTTACTAAATGTTTTGAAAAATCTTCATTTGTTTAATGAGGACACTTTCAGGACCTGCCTTAGCCAACTCTTCCTCTGAAGGTAGCTTCCCTTCCTCCTCAAAGGCACCCAAGCACACTCCCCAACAGGCCCCGCCCTTTCTGCTCTTTCCACTCCAGCACTCCCCACACTCAACTGTTGTGAGAGAACAGCAAGACACAGGGGACTTTTTCAGATCCATGATCACAAGGATATGTTACTTGTGAAAGCTACAGCAAAAAAGAGCGGTAAGACAAGCTAACACAGCTAGTTAGGGTTGACAGGAGAACTGGGAAGAACAGAGTAGAAGACACTGCTAAAAACATGTGGAATTGGGTGGAATTAAGGTTGAGACGATGGGGGAAGGAAGTCATTCTGCAAGAGAAATAAAACAATCAGGTGTGGGTACTTCTGAGCACCACTGTCCAGCTTTGTGGTAAGTACTCTGACAGATTCAGAAGGACTAGGAGATCAGATTCTTGCTATCAAAAGAGCTGATGGAAGTAAAACAAATGGAAATAATTAGAGAACAGTTCAATGCCCAACTCTGAGAGCTGACATGGTCAGAAATGGCTTTCTTGGAGAGCTGTACCTCCAGTTGAATCTTTCAGGGTAAGCAAGATTTTAATTAGCAGAGAGAAGGAAATCAAATATTCTAAGGGTGGGGAAGGAAAGTCAGGGTATGGGGCTGGAGGAATCTGATTACCCTCTGCTACTTTCTCTCTCCTCTTACTCTATAGAAGTCAGAGCAAAAGATGTAAAGGGACTCTTACCCCTGATGATAATAATGGTGATAATTTTCCTGCTGATTCTATTCTGGGAAAACGAGCTGGATGAGGAAGTAGCGGAGTCAACCATAGAGCACTTGCATGTGGACTACCCTCAGAGCAACATCCATGTAAGGTACTGCAACCATATGATCTTCCAAAGAATCATCAAGGAACCTGATAATACCTGCAAGAAGGAGCATGTTTTCATCCATGAGAGGCCTCGCAAAATCAATAGTGTTTGCACTTCTCCCAAGAAGATGGCTTGCCAAAACCATTCCAGCACTTTATGCTTCCAGAGTGAGACAAAGTTCAAAATGACGGTCTGTAAGCTCACTGAAGGTGTCAGGTATCCTGCATGCAGGTACCACCTTTCCCCCACAGAGGGGTTCATTCTGGTCACTTGCGACAATACGGGGCCAGTCACTTTCCAGAGATATGTTGAGTAACTTGAGACCAGCGCCTTGGGTCTGAGATCCTCTCTTGTCCTCTGTCAGGGGCGCTGGCGCTGGTTCTTTCCGATGTGCACTTGAGATGTGGATGTGGGGGAAAGCCTGGAATGAAATGGGTAGCCACTGGTAACTCAGTTATCCTTCCAGTATTGCCAAGCTGGAATCTTCTTATTCTGCTTCAACTATAAAACTATAAAACTGAATTAAACCCAAAACTCTGCATGTGTTTCAATTTCTTGTTCCTTTTCTTTGTGTCACTTGATGAGAACCCAGAGTGTATCTGGTGCAGGACTGGGATGAGGATAAGGTGAGTGAGGCACTCACTTCACATGCAAATTTTAAGGAGCACCCTCCCTCCCACAAGTAATCTAGATAAATAATATTTTTCAAAAATCCATATTAATGCAAAAATCCCTAATGAACAAAATACCTGAATTTTAAACCAAGGCCCACTCTGACAGGGCTGGATTTAGGGTGATGAGGGGCACCTGAGTTGTGCCCATGCAGGGTCAGAGCCTGTTATTTAAATTTTTTATATTTGTTCATCAGGGATTGTTTTGAGTTAAATTAATTTTAAAGATTGCATTAAAATATTGCCTTGATTATTGGGTTTGTTTTTAACCCTCTTAACTTTTGTACTGAGACCTTATTCATTTCACCCTAATCCCACACTTGGTCTTAAGTGTAGAGGCAACTGGGGTTGTCTCTTAGAATTTTCTGTAAAGATGACATATAGACCTCAGCTGCATCTGCTCCTGTTCAGTGCTCCCTGTGTGCCTTGAAAGAAAGGGCAAAAGACATCAGAAGGGGCCTGACCGGTCAGAAGCCGTTTCCCTGGAAGACTGTGGAGAGAAATAGATAAGGATTTCTGAGGGAGAGTATCACTTCTTCGCATCCCCGAAGGAAACAGAAAGGACTTTGACTCAGACTACTCTTTTCCTTTTTTAGTTCTCGCAACTGAACTGGTTGTTTAGTTCTTTCACATTCAACAATAGGCAATGGATCTTTCGAGTTAGAGGGCAAAGGAAGAGAAGGGAGGGAAAGAGAGGCTCCTGATTCTGGGAATTTGATGAAGTCCCATTCCTCTCTGAGACTTAGTTGTCTCATCTGTAAAGTGAGAGGGCTTGAGCTAGATAATCTTTGAGATTCTCCCCAGGCCCATGACACCACAATTCTATTTCTTAGTAGTATAGAAATTAGCCTTGTTGGAGGGGAGGGTTAGTTTTGAGGAATAGTAAGAAATAAGGGATGATTGGCAAGTAAGGGACAGATTGTGGGAAAACTAATTCTGAACGTTCCAATCCTGTATGTGAGCAATGCATGAGCTTCAAAGGGCCCAATCTGTTCTGATCTTTTCAGTTGAGAGACTTCAACTATTGCATTATTTATTTGTACTTAATTCAAGGTCAGATCAAAAAAGGAGGCACACCTGTGCTAGTTACCTCTCTGTTGTAAGCATCAAATTCTAAATGATTGACTAGATTATGGAGGGAACAGGGTGGCTAATGTGAGTAAAGGACACTTTGCAACCTTTGCAAGGCTCACCCAAGTGGGGTGGCCCTTTCGCAACTGAGTTTCATTACCCATTTCTCCATGGGAACCCCATTGGCACTGTTGTCTTCATGGAAGTTTGATGCTACCCAGGGAGCAGAGCCCTCAGCATCTGAAGATGTTGAGCAGGAACAGGTGGTCCCTAGTATATGAGTCCTGGTAGCAGCATCATTTCTTGGACAAAGCTTTAACTTACTAAAATGTGTCCCTTAAGGCTCCTGTTTCTATGTTCTGAATTCTGATTCCCTTTCCAACTCTTCTCCCTAAGCTTTATTGTCCTTTCCTTCCCAATGATTTCTCTTCCTTTCCTCACTTAGCCTCCCTCTAATTAAACACAAAACCAGGCATTCCCATTGAAGTATGAACCTGAGACTGCTCACTGGAAATTATCCTCAAAGTATTTTTATTTGGTGGGGATCAAAGCCCAATTCGAGTGACTTACAATGTTTTAGGCATGTGCAGTTTGGGGGGTTTGTGTTGTTGTTATTTGTTTTAATAGGCACCTTGCAGCCCAAATCAAACCCAGGTAGCTGCTAATTCTGTCCACTTAAAATACACGTTGCAGGAAAACTGGGAATCTCTACACTGTTTGTCCTCTTATTTTTCTCCTTACTATATTTCTGCATTCCTATGATCACCTCACTATTGATGTTGATGGTGGCTGATGTTTAGGAAACAATCTAAACCCTTCTTCCCTCCTCCCTTTACCCTGCACCGAGTCTGTGCTCAAGGCACAGATGGGAACATGTCTATGTAACTCTTAATAATTAATACACAATCAATCCAATTACTAAGGTTTATATATTTTTAGCACTGGGTTTTTGCTCTCATTTTACACACAGGACATTTTGAAATTAAATATCATTAAAAATACAAGTCCATGGGTACTAATGTCAATTGAGTGGTATAAGAAATGTGTGGTAAGCTCAGAGGCATGAGAAATGGATTTGGTAGACTTAAGTAGTGGAAAAAATATATTTAAAAAAAGAATGAGATCTGAATTGGGCTTTGAAGAATTTCAAGAAAGGAGTAGTGTGGGGTAGCTCAAGACACAGCCTCTCCTCCTCAGAGAACAGGTGTGAGGCACAAAGAAAAGGAGTGAGGAAAACAGCCTGTATCTGGTGTCCCAGCTTTCTCAAAGCCCCTGTTTGCCATAACCCTGTAGCTACCCACATGCTACGAGGGCTCCCTCCTCAATGCCACTGCTCCCTCCCTAACCCTATAAGTAGCACCAAGACTGCAGGCTGGCATGATTTCTCTCCACTGATCCGCTGCTGCCATCATTGCACCCCAGGTGGTTTTTTCAGACTATCAGTGTCAGGGACACTTAGGCAGCTCCCAGACTTGGAGCTCCTGTGTTGTAAATAGGCATTCAAGAAAAAACAAAAGCAAAAATAAAGAGATGGAATAGAGTGTATTCAAAGAGAGTGGGTCACACTGATTTTCTGAGAGCCAGTGCGCATACCAAAATAATGGGAGAGGAGCCTTGAGAAGCAGGTTGGGATGAGATCAAGTAGAGCCTTGACTCAGTGGCCTCAGGGTGTTCCATTACCTCCCGTGGGCAATGAAGAATAGTTGAAGGTTTCTGAAGTAGTGTCATTGCAAGTGGTGTTTTAGAAAAATAGGACATTGAAGGAATTGGAGGGGCAGGGAGTGGTGATTGGGATGTAAATGTGATAATGCAGAAGCTACATGTATAAGGGAAGGAAGCTCTTAAAAGTGATAGAGAAAAAGAAAAAAATGAGATCTTGCTACAGCAAGAGAATTATCCCTCTAAATAATCATTCTTTCTGGGATTCTCAATACAAATCTTCCAGCATTGACCTCAAGTACAGAATTTTCCTCACTAATCAAGCCATGTTATGTTGTTAACAAACATTGCTGAGAAATCTGTGTATACACAGGTCAATGTTTGATTCTGTACCAACTAAAAAGAAGCAGGAATATGTCCCAGGCTCAAGGAATTTTTAACCTCAGTAAGAGGGAGAAAAGACTAACATGTATCAATCAAGCTGAAAAATGAAAAAAGACCAAATAAAATAAAGTGCAATATAATCTATGCTGTAGAGGTTTCAGAGAAGGAAAGAAGACACTTTGGGTTAAAATATAAATAAATGGACAGTGATGATTTCACAGAAGAGGAAGCAGTGGTGCTGCCCAGGGCAATGGCATTCGGACAGCCAAATGGACACTTTGTTTAGTCCTCTGACTGTCCTGGTTCCGTGTTGTCTCCTCCTTTGATCTCTTACAATTCTACCTACCTTGTTTTTAGCCCCTCCTTTCTTCAGTTAGACCCAATAGCAAACACTTCCAGGAAACAAATACAATTTCACTTTTTGCCCTGAAACAAGCTAGAAGCTTTCTCCAGAGGACCAACTGTGCCCAAGAAACTGGTAAAAATGGATGTCCCATGACTGAGAATTGATGGGAAAATGAATGGGGGAGGGGAAAATAACACTGTGTTTTTTTTCAAGTGGCTACTGCGTGGCAGGTACCATGGGAGGATGTAGGGGATGTAGGAATAGTGAGGAAGGTGTTGAGTGAGATTCTTGTGACCATTTTGAAGATTACAGACCCTGCCAATGAGATTACAGACAAGGAGAAAAGGGAGAGAAATAACTACTAGGTTCTGGGCACTTCAAATGTATTATATTATGTAATTCTCACATTCTTTTTTTTTGGTATGGGGAAACTGAGGTTAGTTAAATGAGGTAAATTGTTTGTTAGTGGATAAGCAGGGATTTGAAGCTGGGTTCAGACCTCACAGCTGATTGTGTTTTCATATATTTGCACTTCCATTAGCAGCTGTAAAACTAAGTTACATGGAGGGGTCATTCCTGGGAATAACTGTCATGAGGAAAAGAGAGCTATCTCCTTAATATTCTCCTTATTTTTGTCTTTGACTCTTTACTTTTACTGCAGAAGAGATTACCCTGGATCTGAGATGGAGGTCTCTCTGCTGCTACTCAGCCTGGGCTTGATTCTTGTAGGATCTTCAGGAAACAAAATGGAGACAATTAAAAAAGAATTCTCAGAGGAAGAAATGCAAGGTGACTTGGCAGACAGTTACCAAGAAAAACAGACCATCGAGGTATTCATGAATTCAACTCTGTCGGCTACAAAAACGTCCAGCTTTAGCACGTCCAAGGATGTTATATCACTGACATTCAGGAGATTACATTATAGCTTCCCCAAGGGGAACAACCCAGGTGATAACAAAGAGAATTACAATGACATGGTGATCTGGAGAAAAGTTTCACAAGCGAATGGGTCATGCAGGTTGAGCAATAACTTTATTCTTGGCTTCATGGAAGTGACTGGTGGTATACCCAAGACCTCCAGCTATAAGTGTGGGCAGGATCTTGGCATAGGCTGCTCTGAGAGCCCAGAACTGGAGACCACTATGGGCCAGCTCACTATAGGCAAACCATTCCCCAGGCGGCAATACCACAGTGTTACCTCATTAAAGAAAATATTGGCAGTGCTAACAGGTAATTCTCTGATGAGCTGGTTAGTTAGTGGCTCTAAATTGTAAATCCCACAGGGGTGTGAGACAATAGTCTGTCTAACAAGAGCATTAGTATTCCTTTAGTACTATTGTCAAGTCCTGATTATTTATACTAACTGGAGGAATGGAAAATCCAAATTTGTGGATAATTTGATTAAAATTTATAACTGATCTTGGAGTGCAAATACACACACACTCTCTCTCTCTCTCTCTCACACACACACACACACACACACACACACACATGCACACTCTCAACTAAACTGAATTCCATCCTAACAGCTATAAAGCCAAGAAGCAGAGTTCATCCAAATTGACAGGATTAAGGAAAGAAGGCCTCAAACCACTACAGATAATTAAAAATTAATTGTATTGCCACTGAGATTATTCAGAGGAATAGTGAATAAGCATAGGGGGTATTATCACTGCTTGTCTTCAAAGAAATGTGTGCATTGATGCATGCACACAAATGTGGCACCTGCCTGTGCAGCCAGAGGTGTGCCTGTCCTCCAGAAGCTGCTGGAGGAAAAAGGTCCTTTGCTTTAGCTGCTGCCCTCAGTCAACAGCTCCAGCCCTAAACAATCTGCATTCCTTCTTCCTCATCCTTATCTATTTCAAGGGTGCTACAGAGAGAAGAAATAAAGTGCTTATTGAAATTTTTACTCAAATATACTCTTGATTCCCTGGGGCAGAGAATGGCAAACCTAGAGGAGGCAGAAAGATGAGAAATAGGAAGTTTATGTCAAGTGCCAGGCAGAAATAATCTTCAATCTTGTTTTCTGATGTTGTGGTGATTTTTTAACTATCAATTGTTTATTTGTAAGTCTTTATGGTTCAACACTCTACATCAAATATGAGCAGTTATCTTGTTCATTAATGTGTGCCTATGTACTCCTGTTTTCTCATCTTCCATCCTCCTTCCATTGTGAGGCAACTCTTTTTTAATGTCCTAATTTTAAATAAATGCATGTAAATGAATGTCACATCACTGAATACTTGTTGTACATCATTCTTTGTATATCAATTTTCATAGTGCTTATCACATTTGGTGTGGAATTCTCATTACATCAAAACTGCAAAACTCTGACAATCAACATGCATCATGAGGGCAGATGTCTTTGCATCTTTTAGCTGGGTTTTCCGTGTTGGGGTGGTGGCTGTTAAAATAATCACTTAAGTTTGGCCAAATAGGTATGTAATTAGCACTGGATTTGCACTTGGCAGCCAGGAAAGAAAGTGATAGAGGGAAAGGCCTGGGGCACGAAGTTCTCTTCTTTGTAAAAGGAGAACCCAGGGCCCTAAAAAGAAGATGTACTCACTGGGTTCCATTCCAGGGACAGTTCCCATGTGGTGAGGCTGGTGCCACCACCCACTCATCAGCCATTGGGTGAGCTCTGTCCACGGTAGAGCCATCCAATGGGTCCCCTCTTGGTTCACGTTTGAGTAACTTGTTTCCCACAATAGAATACTACTGTGGAGTCCAGGTCTGGGTAATGGGCATGCCAGCCCCAGAGACAAAACTATTCAAGCTTCAGGAAATGTTTTTGGTAATATGCAAGAAAAAGCAAATCCAGGCTACGTCAGATCTTAGTACAGATTTCCTCCTTCATCCGGTGAGAAGAGCAAAACCCAGAATGAATACCTCTTTTTACATCAGGAGCATCCTCTAAAGACCAAACCTTTCCAATTCTCCAAAGGAATCAGGAGCTCTGGTGCTCTATTCCAAGCCTTTGGTACCCTGACCTCCCAGGACCTATCTAATCATCATGCTATGAACTCTGAAAGATGTCAAATGTAGAGGTGCCTTAGAGGGGCAGGGCCCCTGAGTGCTAGCACTTCTCACTATCAAAGCCTGGTCACCTCTTTGATATAATGTGCATCCTAGTGTCCCTCATGATGACAATAGGCAGGGGATTTCTTATTTTAAAACATTGTTTCCATAATTTTTTCCTGTTTCCACACTACAGAGGCCCCCCCCATTTTTCTTGTAGCTTCACATGTAAACTTTTCTGGCTGGCTTTTCAAGGCTGCTACTGCCCCATTCTCTTCTTACCCAGCCTGTCCCAGCACCGTCCCAGTCTCTGTTGTTTTGAGGCTGCTCTCTTCACAGTCCACAGAACTTGTGTCCTTGTCTGCACCCTTTGGTGGTCTGATCTTGATGCCCTTTTTCTTCCCTTTCTCATTCTATCATCTCAGCCCATTTAATGTCACAAGCTCCACTTGACTGGAAATAGCCCCCAAAGTATCTCCTGTATTTCTTATAAAACTAACTGAGAGGTAGATGTGTGTCACATCCTTGTAGCTGAAAGGAAACTTTATAAGAAATGAAATGAAGTGACGAAGGAGACTGATCTAATCATAAGGAAGATGGAAAGGAGAGTCAGGTTGAGAAAGACAGCTGGGAATGGAGTGTTATGGAGGTCTGAGAAAGGGATACTGAGAAGGATTATTTGGCATAAGAGAAGTCCCCTTCTTGTCTCTCATTATTCCCTCTGCTTTCCCAATATAAAGTACACTCGGTTTCTTTAATCCAAAATTCTGAAGTGAAACGAGTCCCTGGCCTCAAGTGTCCACGATGTTGCTGAAGTAAGAAAAGAGCCTTTGCAACATCATAGGTGAATCTTCATTTGTTTTATTGACTCAATTTGTCCCACTAAAAAGAGTCATTTCATATCACTGAGTATCAATTTCTTTCTCTACACAAAGGGGAGGTTGGGCTACATGTGGGTTCTCTGACTTGGGTATGCATCAGGGTCACTGTGGGGAAGCTCTCAGGTTGCCCACCCCAAACTACCCTCCTCGTTCTCAAGACAAAGAGGTACTGTAAGGCACAGGGCTGCTCAGCCAGGCTTACCCAGGCTCTCTGACCAGAAGTGATACATGCTACTTCTAGGTCCAGGTCTTATGACAATGGACAAGCCTCCTCCATGATTTTTTTCTTCCCAACAGCTAGATTCCCAAAGTGAGCTTGAGTGTGACTCAACCTTAATAATGTAGATGGTGATAACACCCTAGGAATGAATGGCCTGAACAGCAAAAAGAAGGAAAGCCATATGCCTGAACTCATGTGTGAAGGAGGGTTACCTTGCCAGCCTGAGCTACTCATCTCGGGGCTGTTATATGAGAGAGAAATAAATATGTGTATTTTTAAATCCCTCATACTTTGAAATGTAGTTCCATCAGCTTAGCCTTACCCTGACAAATTTAATAACTGTAGGAGCTATTATTAAATACAAATTCCTGGGCTCTGATCCTGAAGATGTGGGTTCTATAAAAAAGAGAAAGGACAATAGCATGTAGGTTCTTTAGAAAAGTGTTACGTTTGCTTATGTGCACCAAAGTTTGAACATCACTAGATTAGAGGAACTAAAAGCTTTCTTTCTACTTAGAGAACATTCTGATTCCAGTCCCAGTTAGAGGGGAAAGAGTTGCTGCCTATGTATTCAGGGCTTTCAAGGATCGCCCTGGGACAAAGCAAGTCAATTTAACTCAGAGAACATCCACCCCCAACACAGTGTCCCAGAGCTAGCAAGGCAGGGGACCCCTAACCCCCCAGCCATGGATGCATCTGGGAGAAAATGCAGTACCCTGTGAGCAGGAATCTGGTTTCCTTTTAAAACAGTGGCCGAGAAGTTGGCAGAGGTGTCACACACATGAAATGCATCCTTTGTACCCCAGCAATCAAAAAATGGCAGGTTTGGGATGACTGTTTAACATCCCAAATCTTCATGCTTATAATGTATGTAAAACTTTGTCAAGATCACATATAATTACCACAAGGATGATTAATAAGTAATAAGAGCTGAGCTCTTATGATGTGCCAGGCATAGGTCTAAACACATATGTATACCGCAGAACAGCTTTCATGACGTGGATTATTATTGTCTCCACTTCAGTAATGAAGAAACTGAGACACTGTAGGCAATGTACCAAGTGAGGTAATGTATAATGTCACACAAATGGTACCCCAGGAAGAAACAAGGACACTCTGATTCCATAGGCCAAGCTTTTTACCATTCACCTTTATTTGGTAGGAAAACACCAAATAAATCCGGTAAAAAATTATTATTTTTTATTATGATTATCCTTATTTTTATTATGATTAGATCAGAACCCGGGGCATGTGTGGGCTGCTTAACGCATACAACTGAAGAGAAATATTTGTAATATATATGGCTGACAAAGGGTTGATATCTTTAATATGTAAAGAGCTCTGTCAATTTAATGAGATAAAATGAAAACACCTACAGAAAAATAAGCAAGGGACACACAGAGAAAATTAACCAAAAAAAAGAAATAATCATTAAACATTGGAAATTGTTTCCTTCTTACTAAAGGTAATATAAATAAAAACAATGTAATATCATGTTTTACATGTCCAATCAGCAGAAATAATATTTTAAAAAATAACATGATGCTGACATAGGTACAAGAAAGAGGACATCCTCATGCACTCCTCCTGGGAAAACAAATTGGTAAATTTGCCGTCTTTCTGGGGAACAATTTGAACTAAACCCCATTCTAGTTTTCGGACCCCTGCACATTTGGTTTCTTTACTTCACTGATGACACTCTTCCCTCCTCTCATACATGCTTCTGGCTAGAAAGTCAGCCCCATCGGTTCCCTGACAGCTTTCTGAGTTAGGGCCCTCATTGAAAGGCCTGTGCAGGCCCAGGGGCTTATTTTCCACAGGGTCAGAGAGTAGGGCATCAGGAGCTGGCAGAGCCCGGGGCATGTGCGAGCTGCAGGTTCTGCTTCTTGACTGAGCTCACCTTGCTGTCAGCAGCTCGGCTGTTCTGAGAACTCCCTGTTCTCCCTTTCGGGAATGTGGGCTGAGCTCTTGGACCCGTCACAAGAAATACCCCTTCTGAGAGCTCTCCCAGGCACAGGAGGCAGGGCCTGTTACAGGGGGAACTGGCAGGGCGGGGTGGGGGCGGGGGGAGCCTGGGAGGACAGGCTCTTGAAACTTGCCCACACAAAGTGACACTTGTCGCCTTCTATCCCTTTCTACCCCTTCTTCATCCAGC